ACTAGTGATAGGGAGTGAAGTAGTTGAGCGTATTGATTGCTTCACTAATCTTGAGAGTCTCATCAATGTTGATGGCTTCATGAGTGACGAGATCTCGGCAGGGATACAGAAAGCTCGATTGGCTTTCGCCAATTCACGTCATTTACGGCTTCGGCAACATATCCGTCTGTTAACCAGTTGACAAGTACACTGTGCAGCAGTTCGCTCCATTTTCCTGTATGGATGCGAAACATGGCCGGTAAGAGTAGAAGATATTCGTAGGTTACTGGTTTTCGATCATAGATGTCTCCGACGCATTGCTTGTTTTTCTTGGGACTATCGAGTAAGCAATGCTGTTGTTAGGAAACGGGTCCTAGGTAAGGATGGTAGATCAATAGATGAAGTGTTGAAACTTTATCAGTTGAGCTGGTTGGTATGTGTGCAATGAATGCGTAACCACTGGCTTATCTCGTGTGTATATCGAGACCTTTTGCTGCAGTCTGCTGCTACATTTCCATGAGTAAAATATTAATAGTTCATGTGTGATAATGATGGTAATCAGTCCTTGTCTTTTTGTGTGCGAAGTACTGATTGATCAATTCAACTTGGACTCAATAAAATAATAGCTCTGATTGATGTGATTAATTAAAAAAGTCATGATTTTCTAAGTTATGGGGAGGGTAGTTAGTAGATATCTTTGTAGTTTACATCATGATCTGATCCTCGTTAGACAACCATTGAAAACTAAGAGGCATTAAACAGTTTTTTGTCTCAGTACGAGACTACTCAGCAGTATTGAAACAAATAGTTTAAAACATGATAAAGAGTAGTGGATCTGAGTTACGCTTAGAGATTCTAATCCCGTTTCATTTAAAGTATCCAACTACTGATAGCGTTATCCTGAGAAACTCAACCAAGTAATCATCATCTTTCATGACTTAATGGTTTGGTCCCGCTAGCGTTCTTCAAGCCTACTGCTATCCAAAGCATAATATCATGAGAGCTTCAAACCATAATGAGTAATTTTCTTGAATTAATTCGGACAATTCAGAACAAACCAAATATAATTACATTCATTCCTACTTATCAGTTGAATGATAAACGTCTGGGCAGTATAACGTATTTATTGATCTACTAAACAACAGAAGTTATTCAATGCACGTGCTTTAACTGATCATTTATTGATAAAATGCAAAAACGCGGACAAATTTTTGGGATAATATGCTTTCGACGAACATAATACCAAGTTTGAAATCTCAATCCAAGTAGATTTATTCAATGCAGTGACAAGATCAATGTAATCTGTGACTTGCTGTCTTGCTCTTTATTTGATTGGCTCCTTAGGTCTCAAAACGCCTGTGGAATCTCAAAAAAACCATTTCGAAGTTAGTCACTAATAAGTATGTAACGATAACTTACTTTTAAATTCTTCTGATTCTCAAGATGGATTTCATAACAACTTATCATCATTCAAAGAGCCAGTAAATACCATAGGCAAAATGCTTACTAAGCCGTCGTCAATCCTTTTAACCAAAGCTAGTATGCTGGAGGAATGGCTGTCAGCTAGTCAATGCATTTCATTCGGAATAATAATATCAATCAGGTCATCAGGAAATAGCTAATAGAACTATACCAATTATTATATATCACAATTAAAAATGTAAACTTGCTTTTCTCAAATTATTTTCTTATACCGGTTACTTCAAATCAGTAATCCATTTTAATTTTAATAGATTTTTTAATTTAATTCCATCTTAGATGTCAGTATTTCATAACTTTACAATCATGTGGGTTAAGTTGAATCCGCCTTTCTGAAACTTGTCTACATAGTAGGTGAGTCTTATGGTTTTTTTTTTTTTAATAAACAATCAAAAATTTTTTTCATTTGTATCATATCTTCTTTAACTTCTCAAGTGGTATCACTTAGGGTTAAATGGTTACTGAAGAATCAGTAAACGCTTCGGCTAAGACTGTTTTACGCGATCTTTCAAAGTATAACCAAGTTAGTTTGTAATAATCTGAATTGTAAGGTCGAACAAACAATCTTTAACCAGAAATGATGTAAATATGTCAGCTCTGTAGAGTTAGTAAAAGATCTTATTTAATGACCGTTTTGTCTCTATGCACGCAGTTGTATATAGCCTACATATCGCTAAGTCCCATTTTGTTTGGTTTCCAGTCGATAAATCAGAACCATGCCTTTACCAGTTGGTTTTGTTATTTTTCTCAACAAATCAAAACAAGAACTAAATATCCGAGAACAGTATCATAACTAACATACTTCTCCATTTCAACTGAATAGCTAATGTCATCTAGTAGTGTATAAAGGATAGGATAGTAATGATAATGATATTGACTAAGAATACTTTATCTGATTAATTCACTTGATTCATCTCATCACAACGAGCAAATAAAAGAAATCGGGTTAATACCTGTGGATAAACAAAACCATCAACTGAATATTTTTAAACTTGTGGATTACTAATACATTGGGTAAAGATAATCATATTTTGGTATGACGGTGATATTTATTACCATACATGTGTTCTAATCTATAGTGTTAGGGTGGCTACCAGACAGTTAGATGAAGTCTCCAGAAGCTATCAAGAAGCCGAAGAGATTATATCTAGTCACAATCCGATCGAGTTTGTCGAATATTGACGTGGCGTACGGTGATTGGACAGTTGAATAGCATCACTGTTTGCCGAGTAGACGATTATAATAATGTTTTCAATCTATTCCAAAAGATATAAATACACTGTTTCGACACTTACTGAAATGAACGTTTCTTCTGTTTTCATCGCCTTTGTTGTTTGCGGCTTGGAGGGTTCTATACACTCTGGTGCCAGATGTGCATACCGTATTGGCAGTAGCAAATGGACGACTTGATACATACATGGAATACCTAAATTATATTGACATTACACTCTTTATCGTGGCACATGATCTGCTGACACTTTTCTTCTGGAGAAACTAGCAATATTCTTCACACGTATATATTGTGAATATGACACCAAACACGCACATGGATTTTTCGATTTTGGCAATTATTTTCTGGATAGTTCCTCAGGGTACTGGTTAGTGATAATGTGTCTGATAATGTAAAGTAATAGTTTTGGAAACATTCAGGAAATCCTGTCGGCCAACTCCAATCCTTCGTCCGTTTTATATGTATATGTGAGTTACGATGGTTGAAGATAAATGGTAAAACGTCCGGGAACTAATCATGACAGAGTATGTTCATTTTCATAACTTCCTGTACACAAGTGTTGACTAATTTCAAACTTCTGTTTAGCTACACATTTCTATTACTTACACTTTACTGGTTGGTATAACAAGCACTCGGAGAAATATCAACCTTAGACATCAACGAGATTTCGAACTACAAATTTATTTTTCTATGATAAATGTATATACAAAAAAGTCATTTATACCTAATACATGCAACATAGGTTATTTGGAGTATCTTGAAGTTATAGCTGTAAGGTTTGAATATTACTAAAGTCTAATTAAACTTCATCAGTAATTTTACTCAGCACTGACTGTCTGAAAAATTTTCGGGAATCCTCAAGGAAAAAAAACTTGGTGTTCTAACTTCCACTTCAAGTAATTGCGATAGTATTATCGCTGTGTAACTATGACAAGTGTAATAGATATTTGATGCATAATGACAATAATAATAATAATAATAATAATAATAATAATAATAATAATAATGATAATGGTGATTAAAGTAAAAAATACTTTTATATTGATTATAACTCATCATCTGACTCTACTCACTTTCTAAATATGCCAATGACATGTTTTAGGTGCATTTGAACCTTGACTGATACAAAAACATGCAATGATTAACAGATAATACTGTTTGATTTACTGATATATACACCCATTGTAGCATACTAATTATGAATCTATAACTATGCAGGTTAATGACAGAGTAATTGTAAATAATCGTTTACTCAAATATTGCTTATTTTTAAATATTATATGGAACTCTTTAAACGATTTACACTATTAATTTAATTTGAAATATTTTGGATTATCTTGCTGTTGATACTTGAACTGAAATTTAGTTAGTCTTGGTTGGTTTACATACATCCTGCGTAGATTGCCTCGATATAACCATCATGACACAAGTTAATATAGTATAGACGGGATCTGTCTGGCACTTTTAGTACATTCAGCTGAGTCTCAGAAAAGTTGAAACATGAATCCTGGATTCCACTGCTAGCCATGTCCCATTTATTTTTACATTAAATTGTGTGAGGCAATCCACATAAAATGCATATACACCAAGACTAATAGAATTTCAGTAAAAATATCGACAACAAGATAATCAAAACCATCTCCAATCGGATTAAAACTAATATATGTTGTATAATTTGATAGCCCAGTAGCTAAGTGGATAACGCGTTAGCGTTTGAATTAAACGTCACTGGGTTTGAGTCTCGGAGTGGAGATCCACTCTGTGATCCAGGTACACTCGGCTGACGAGTCTTAAATAAGACGACACGTGCTTTCTGGATTCTAATGATAGCCACCATCCATGTTTTCTATGCCAATAACATTGAATCAATTACCACAGACTATCATTGCTGTTCAGTATTTTGAAACACGCAGAAAACAGCTAATAATTAGGACAACAAAGTTATCGAGACCTATATGAAAGTGTTGTTTGTTGTCTAATCTAACTAATAATTTTATGTGGACCAACTAGTCGGCCATACAATTGGTTGCATCATAACATTTCAGCCCATTGTCTAGTTTACCGTGTCAGAATATGATTGGTCTATAGCTTTATTGGTTAAATGTAACCTACCAATGTCCGATAGTCCGATTGGTCATTTTATTTTATTTTCAATTAAAAGTTCAGTGGATTTTTTTGTCTGTTCATATTATATGTACTTTCGTAACATGTGAAAGTTAGAGTGAATGTATTTCAGTTATGGAAATTTATTATCAATTTTCGATATAATCTATCTTCTATTAAAGTAATTAGTTAACTAATTAACAAAAGAATGGAAAATATTGGAATAAACTGTGAAAAGAAACCAGATGAAATCGGTGACTGGGATTTGGAATCAAGTTTAAATAGCATAGTCTCACGTGTACCAGGTTCCTTCTGGTGGAATGATACATTGTCGATAGAGTCTAAAATAAACATCAAAATATATTATTGGCTTCGAATTCCTGCCCATGAACTCTCTATCAACCATGATCAAAGACATGATGTAAATGATCGCAAGAACATACATTCAAATAGGTTACTGGCTAAATTATTACTAATCCATTATAATGAATCAATAAATATTTCAGGCGTTCAACTTACTCCGCAAAATCAGAATCAGATCATATGCATTGACTGTTATGTGCCCCAGAACGGAGGACATTGGAAAGTGATATGGAGTGATTTAAAACGAAATCTTGAATTATCTACTTCATCAGATGGTGAACATTATGGTAAATCGAAAAAAATGATATCGAAAAAGCCAATACAGTTAGGGCCTGGTTTACGAATTACTGGTTGGGCATCTGGTCATTCATATTCGTCCAAATCTTGTGATGATACGCTACCAGGCTGTGAGACTCACAACTGGTGCTTTATTATTCCTATAAATATAGATCACTTGTATAACGTGACTGTAGTGTTATTATTACCAAAAATCAAGGATGTAAATGTTAATCCGCCTACGCATCCTCTACGATCTACAGGATTGGGTGGAAGCAGCAATGATATAAACCTATTAAATAGTAATAAATATAAACTTTTCACATTACAACAGTCTAATTTTACACAAACAAAAGAGTTACAATTAAGAAAAAATTCAAATTTGAACAATAACAATACTAATTTTTTCTTCACATCAAGTCTTTTTGGATTTGGAGCCAAATTGGTTGTTATTACGCAGCCTAACAACTACCAACAGAAACTAGATATGAGTTCTATTAGTGTAGATTCAATTTGCTCTTTTGATACATTAGATTATCATTGTCGTTTTGGCGATAAACAGAAATCCTGTCAATATACATACATTGAAACACAGAACGGTACTCCAGCCTATAAAAATGGATCTTTTGTTAGTCAATTAAAAAATGATCACAAAGAAGAAAATCTTCAATACAATGATCATAATCAACTATTTAACGATCAACCATTATTTCTAGATCATATCAAAGAAGTGAATTTGAATGAAACATATTTCGTATCATGTTTGAAACATAATGTAACCATAAATTGTGATTCTTCGGTCGTATCCAAGGGTAAAAATGAAAATGGATTTAATCCGAAATATTATACTGAAATCTATCCAGTAAGTTCTTATCATTGGTTCATTGAATGAAATTTTATTAATATTTACGGAAAGAAATTAATTTTTCATTGTGAACTGATGTCAACTAAAGAAACACAGAAAAACAAAGAGCACTGAATAGATTCTTCATCACATTTAACCAAGTCCCCGATGAAGTACTGAATCAGATTTCTGTTGTGAAATCCACACTATTAAACTGTAAACCGATAACTGGATAGCATCTCTCTAGGCAAACAAAGCTTAAAGGGTTTGTCCTCACATTCGACTTGGATCCTGGCTTGGAACTATTAAGTAGTTTAAAACGTGAAGTTATTATAAACTGATGAATTAATCAAACTTAACAACTCTTGGATTTTTGTGGTAAGTTCAAAATGCACTAACGCATAGATTGTATCTAAGATCTGAGTGAAAATTACCTATATGTATTGTTCTTGGTATGCTTAAAATCGACAAAAATATATGATATGTACCCTACAGTGAATATGACTTAGTGGTAAAGCTGATACAAAAAAAACACCTGTTCCCAATGTAAAATGCATCTGCAACTAATTACTCATTAAACACTTGATATCATTTCGAACATCACCTCCCGACCGTAGCTGCTACATTGACGTGGTGGTCGGGCTTGCCAATCGTGATGACCCAACCGAGCTATACTGGCTGGAACAAATGTTCCTGAAGGTTCTGCCATGCCAGGCAGGTCGATTGGAAAACGATGAGACTAAAAGCAGCTACCCAAGGTCTGAGGGCGAAGTCGTTTTTGAGATACTTCAAGGTTCTCTTTATATTATGATCTAACGGATGTAGAAAAATTATTCAATTACGTATGACCTATGCAATTGGGTACTCTATTTATACGATTGAATTGGGAGCGCAGAACTGTCTTTCAAGACGTGGCCACAATAATCAGATCATGGTTCATACGTGTCATTTAATTGAACTTAAAGTTGATGTTCGCAATTATAATGTTGAAACAGGGTCAAGGAAATATCTTTTCTCCGCGCAAAGGCTTTGAAGTGAAAACTATCTCCAGTTATTTAAATAAGTATTTTTGTCGGATCTACTTTGATATTAATATCCATTCGGCTATTTGGAACCTCATTGTGTTTGCCAATTAAGTTGAAGGTACAATTCCTAACCTTTTGGGTTCTGTAGTAAATTATTCATATATATTCCATGCGTTCTGATTGGCCAATTATTGAATAACATTTTTCAAGCTCATTTTTAGACAAGCTTATTATATTTGAGCCCTCCTATATGGTGTAGTTTCACTACTGAAAAAGACTGAAACATGAAAACTGTTTAGTACTTTCTAGTTTTCAATGGCACTTCGGTTGACATTAGTCAGCAATAAAAAATATTTGCAAGAAAAAAAGTAACTTCCTTATTGTGCCCTTGAATTTCTCTTTCCAATGATTTCTGATAACTTACCTAAAACTACCCACTAGATAATTTACCAAGTACAATTTTTATGTAATCTGTTTTAAAGATATTGTTCTGTATAAAGGCTGGTCTCAGCATTCGTCTGCTTAAACCGAAGTAGACGAAACAAAGTTCAAAGGACATGACTCATTAGTTAAAAGATGAATACATCCTAACAACTTAGCTGCAGCTTTATTGATTTGAGAAACGAATAATAACTTAAACTGTTGTTATATGTTGTATCTTTAAGTTTATATATTTTTATTAATATATGTTAATTTGAACATCTTCAAGCATATATCCATCATCTCAGAATGAACTGAAGAATAGAATAATGAGACCTCAAGCGGTTCAACAATAAGGCAGTTTCAGTCTATATGGTTGACTTAAGTTGAGTGAAATGTTGTCTGATTTTGGATATTATTTCAATGATAATTAGATAGACTAAATGACATAATTAATAGCTTATGGATCTGCACCTGTTTGTACTTCCTAAATTTTAGTTTTGGATTTTCCATATTTGGTCAGATTCTCTGTTACTCCACTAATCCGGTTCAATCAGTCAGCTACAACGTAGAATTTCGTGCGTGCGTACATCAGTTCAAGTTATCATACCACTTAAGAACTGAGAGATGGAATTGTCATTTCAAATCAAATAGTGAGAAAGGTTGTAGCAGATTTAGCGTTAATCGAAAAGATAAGGATTAGAAGAAATCATTCAAGAAGTATAATCTAATGAAATTAGTTTAAAAAGATGTGATGAGGAATTCATTAGATCAGAATTTGAGAGAAGACAAAGAATGGATGTGTCTGTGCCATTGGAAAGGATTTTGATCCGTGTCATTCAAAGTCCCTAACCATTGGTTATTGTTGTCTCGCTGACTCCAACCGGGTAGTCTACATTTACCAACATGACTCAATCCACTTGTCAGTGACTCCATGGATTGGCGCTATGTTTTGGTTTGGCTGTCTCTAACTTTCTTCCAGCCTACCCCTAATCTTCAAAACATTGCTGGTGGAGGTAGTTGGTGGTTAAAATCTTTTAGAAAGATATATCCATCAAAGTAGTTTCAAAATTCTCCACCTAGGAAAAAGTGGCTTGTTTCAACAAGTCCAAATTTCTCTGCCCGTTATTGCTTACATAAATCATTTTCAACTAATTTCACCTGTTATTGAATTTATCTTTAACTAATTAAATTGTTTACTTCTTTGTTTTGTGTATACATTGCGTTTGTATGATCTATGATGAAGTAGTAAATATTGATTATTCAATCTGAGTAAATGACATTTCTAGATTGTACCTACTTCAATCATTTCACCGACAAAACTAGTTTGACTTATTTATAGAAACTTAAATCAGCAATTATACGTCTTTATTATATCTATGATGTGGAGATTATTGAATGTTGTTGAAATTACTAGTAACTAGCTTAAAGAAAAAATTTCTTAAGTACTAGTAATTATTCATAACTAATGGAGTTCAACTATGTTGAGTATGAGATGGTTATCTACCGCAGGCAATGTATAATGGAAGTTAAACTTGAAGATCACTAAGTTCTGGTATATTAGTCTAGAAATCAAGTTTTTATGTACGAAACCGGAGGTCCTTGATACTATCCTTCGTGACAGAGTCGTGGATAATCACTGCTGAGAATTCATATGCTAGAAGTAAACAGATGTCTAGTGCTTCCACATTATCAATGACTGTCCAGCTTAGATCGTTTCGTGATCTCATTAAAATAATATATTCTTTTTCTTAATTTTTGAGACTAAAGGAAACCATTTCATTTTATAATTTTGTCATCTTCTCAACTACAGTTGAAATGTTTTATTTAAGTAATGCAGTTAGCTTTGGTATTACCTTCACGATGAACTGAACACTAACCTAACTGTTAAGTCATTGTCCTCAGTCAATCTAACTATTAAAATTGGACTACCATCCTTAAAAATCTCAGCGGTCAATCTATCAGGTCCTGCTGCTCTCTACCTAGCTCCGGAATCCTATAGCCTTTTCAACTTCACAAAGACTATCAGGACTTATATCGATTTGCCATTCAGGATGACTGGAGATCGTGGGCAACCGAATTGTGGCCGAAAGCCAGTTGGACTGATCCCTGAAGTGTTCTGCCCATAGATCCAATCTGCTGGATTGAGAATGAATAATAAGACCATCCTTTTCTGAGATAGTTTCGCTAATAGATGGGTTTTTAACACCGGTTTCCTTGATAAGTCGGAAAAACTGTCTGCCCTTTGCCTATCGCCGCTGCCTTTCCCATCTTTCTCAATTTCGCTACCCACCACTGTTCACGGTCGTTACGTAGGCTTTTTATCAGCCTTCTCTTAAGCTGACTTCGCTCTTCGTCATGTTCAGAGCCAGGTGGGATGGGTTTACGAGCGTCTATCAGTTCGATGGATGCCACTGAAATCCATGGCTTCTTCCTAGCCTTATGGTTTACCTTGCTAGCAGATATCACTGATGTTCCCACAGCCTTCTTGATATTATTCCAACCTGCTTCCGGATGGAGATCACTTACGTGGCCGCCTAACTATTTTTCTAGTTGTTCCTGAAATATATTTTTAGCTTTATTATCATTAAGTAGAACCCTAAGAGCTTTCCTTGTGGTGTCTTCCCTACGTCCAGTAAGCCTCAAACAAATACGCGTTCGCACTAGAGCATGATCTGAATTTAAACATGTGCCTCAGAACGAGCGACAGTCCTCTACCGAACCCCTCCATCGGTGGTTGATGGCGATGTGATCTGGTTGAGTCCAGCGCTGAGACGACTTTGGGGTCGTCAGGTAAAATGATGTTCTTGCTTATGCCTAGAGTTAGTGTTTGCTAGGAATAGGTGGTTATCTGAGCACTGTTGCGGCAGACGGTCGCCGTTATTTGTTCAATTAGCGGCGACCACAAGATCCACCCAGGTGTCTTTCCTTTTCACTGAGTCTACCTACTTGGGCAATAACGTCACCAGCCATCATTACTACATCAGAGCGCCTAAAGTTTTGTAGGAGGTCCGAAAGCTTTCAGTAGAACTCATCTTTCAGATCGTCTGAACTGCAGTCAGTGGTAGCGTAGGTAGATACGACGAAGAGGCAACAGCGAGTAACCTATCTTCTGATTCCTTACTGTCCCGTTCAGTCTGACAGTGCAAAATCGACTATCTACTGGGATCCAGTCTAGGAGTGCTGGTTCTTCCCTACGACTTAATGCTATACCTTTACCAGCGAGATCCCGGGAAGCAGCATCATGGCTACTAGATACACAAAGAGTAAATCGAGCTGCTTATTTATTTTGACAAGGTGAAATCAAGTTAGTGATTTTACTAGGATCCTGCATGCACGTTTCGGAGACACAGCATACATCTATGGCGCGAGGTCCTAGAGTCCTAGCTAAGGAAGCCTGTTGCCCTATTCGACACAATGTCCGCACATGTAATTTAGAACGAGGTTTCAGGAGACCAGGAATAATGTTTCGTGAACTCACATCGTTTACATTAGCGGTACGGGGTGATAAAGCAATGTGGGTATAGTCAATCGTGGAGATAAGAGAGATGTTAGAGGGTGTAGGAAGGTTTT